TCTTTTTGCTGTTTGCAGAAGCTTCTTTAGTTTAATGAGATCCCATTTGTCAATTTTCGCGCCCCTCTTGTTGCCGTTGCTTTTCTGGTGTTTTAGACATGAAGTCTGTTTGGCCCATGCCCTATGTCCTGAATAGACAGGTTCACTACCTTAGGTTTTCCTCTAGGGTTTTTTAGGTATTAGTGTCTTAACATGTAAGGTCTCTAATCCATCTTGAATTAATTTTCGTCATAATGAGAGTAAGGAAAGGATCACGTTCATGTTCTTTTATATATATGTCTATGCTCTATTATGTTTCTCTGTTAATATATATTTATGTATCCTCTCTCCTTCTCTTTCCTTGTTTTCTCTCAGGTTTGTCAAAGATCCGATGTGCTTGTATGTATGGGTGTGTATTTATTTCTGAGGATTCTCTGTTCTGTTCTATTTGTGTTTTATATCTCGTTTTGGTTACCAGTACCAGTGCTGTTTGTTACTGTAGCGCTTGTAGTATAGTTTGAATTAGGTAGCGTGATGCCTCCAGGCTTTGGTTCTTTTGACTTTAGGATTGTCTTGAGAGCGGGCTGTTTGTGTTGGTTCCATAGTGAACTTGTAAAGCAGTTTTTGTCCAATTCTGCAACATGGCACAAGTATACATATGTAACAAACCTGCATGTTATGCACATGTACCCTAGAACTTAAAGTATAATAATAATAAAAAATAAATAAATAAATAAAGTATATAGGTCTGTAGCATTAAGTACATTCACATTGTTGTGCCACCCTTACCACTGTCTGTCTCCAGAACTTTTTCCATCTTCCCAAACTGCACTTGGTACCCACAAAACAATAACTCTCCAATGCCTTACCCAGGGATCCCCCTTATCCTACTCCCCACCAGGCCCTGACCACCATTTTATTTGTGTCTCTGTGAAGTTGATTACTCTAGGAACCTCGTATAAGTGGACTCATGTAGTATCTGTCCTCTTGTGACTGACTTATTTCACTTAGCCTAGTGTCTTATAGGTGCATCCCTGTTGTAACAGGTGTCAGAATTTCCTTTATTTTTAAAATGTGTAATTTAAAAATGCCCCAAAAAACAGATCTCTAGGCCCAGATAGTTTCACTAGAGAATTCTACCAAACATTGAAAGAAGAATTAACACTAATTCTACACAATTTATTCCAGAAAATAGAAGGGAGCAACATTTCTCAATTCATTTAATGAAATGTTTAGTATCCTGATGCCAAAACCAGAAAAATACAGGACAAAAAATAAAAACTACAAACCAATATCCTTCATGAATACAGATACAAAAATCCTTAACAAAATATTAACAAGTGAAGAATTCAGAATATATAAAAAGAATTACATAGTATAACTAAGTAAGGTTTATCCCAGGATACAAGGCTGGATCAATATTCCCAAATCAATTAACATAATCCACCTTATTAACAGACTACAGAATAAAACAGTGTGATAAAATCAATTGATACTGAAAAAGCGTTTGACAAAATCCAATACCCATTCATGATAAAGAAAATTAGTAATAGAGTGTATTATAGGTCCATTTGTGATAATGAAAATTATGATAAAAATAAAGAATAGAGGATATAGTATGTCTCCTCTGAAATTCATATGTTAAAGTCCTAACCCCCTGTACTTTAGAATGTGACTATTTAGAGCTAGGTTCTTTAAAGAGATAATTAAATTAAAATGGGGTCATTAGGGTAGGCCCTAATCCAATATAACTGGTGTCCTTTATCAGAAAAGGAGATTAGGACACACACAGAGACAGAAATCAGACACAGGCATGCACAGAGAAAAGACCAAATGACCACCTTCTCTCTGTGTTCTCTCTGTGACCAATTGCATGCCAAAGAGAGGAGTGTCAGAAGAAACCAAACCTGCTGACACCCTAGTCTCAGACTTGTAGCCTCCAGAACTGTAAGAAAATAAGTTTGTTGGTTAAGCCACCCAATCTAATGGTATTTTATGGTAGCCCTATCAAACCAGTATAGAGAGCAAATTCCTCAACCTAATAAGGAACATCTATAAAAAACATATAGCTAACATTTAACTTAATGATGAAAGGTTAAATGCTTTTCCCCTAAAATTGGGAACAAGGCAAGGAGATCTGCTGTCACCACTCTTACTTAACATAGTCTTGGAAGTTCTAGTTAGGGCAATAAGGCAAAAAGGAACTAAAAAGCACACACATCAAGAATAAGGATATACACTATTTCTATTTGCAGCAAATCTTAAAAACAAATCTACAGGGCCGGGCGCAGTAGCTCACGCCTGTAATCCCAACACTATGGGAGGCAAGGTGGGCAGATCATGAAGTCAGGAGTTTGAAACCAGCCTAGCCAACATAGTGAAACCCCGTCTCTAGTAAAAATACAGAAAAATTAGCTGGGCATGGTGGTGGGCACCTGTAATCCCAGCTACTCGGGAGGCAGAGGCAGGAGAATCAATCACTTGAACCTGAGAGGCGGAGGCTGCAGTGAGCCGAGATCGTGCCATTGCACTCCAGCCTGGGAGAGTGCAAGACTCCGTCTCAAAAAAAACCAAAAAACAAAACAAAACAAAGCAATTCTACAAAAAAACTATCCTCGAGCTGACTTCAACAAGGTGGCAGAATAAAAGATAATCAATTGTGTATCTATATAATAGCAATGAACATGTGGACACTAAAATTTAAAAATACAATATCACAACTGCTTAAAAAATTGAAAACTACAAAATGCTGATGAAAGAAATTAAAGATCTAAATAAATCAAGAGACTCAACATAGTAAAGATGTCAACTCTGCAAATTGATATGCATATTTAATGTAATTCCCATAATTCCTAAAATCTCAACAAGATTTTAAATTTAGACAATATTATTCTAAACTTTATATAGAAAGGCAAAGGAACCTAAATAGCTAGAGCAATTTTGAAAAAGAAGAATGAAGTGGCAGGAATCCGTCTGTATGATTTGAAGACTTATACAGCCATAGTAATGAAGACTGTGTGGTATTGTTGGAGGGGGAGACACATCAATCAATGGAACATCACCGAGATCCCTAAAATAGGCATACACAAATCTACCCAAGTAATTTTTGACAAAAGTGCAAAAGCAATTCAATGGAGAAAGGACAGTCTTTTCAACTAATGGGTCTTTGAACAGTTGGACATCCACAGGTAAAAAATAGAACCTCGCCCTATGCCTCAGATCTTATACAAAATGAACTGAAAATAAACCACAGACTTAAATGTAAAATGTAAAACTATACAATCTTTTAGAAAAAAAACATAGGAACAAATCTTTGGCATCTATAGGTGGGTACAGAGTTCTTAGACTTGACACCAAAAACACAATCCATAAAACTGATAAATTTGACCTCACTGAAATTAAGAATGTTTGCTCATTGAAAGAGAGGATGAAAAGTTATAGATTGGGAGAAAGAATTCACAAATCACGTATTTAATAAAGAATTAGAACCTCACAACTCAACTGTAAAAACAATAGAAAGTGTCCTTATTATCTCTTATAAAAAAAGAAACTAGGCAAAGACATGAGCAGAAATTTTACCAGGGAGAATACATATACATATGGCAAATAAGCACATGGAAGTTACGTTCAATGTGATTAGCCATTAGGGAAATGCAAATTTTTTAAAACTTCATTAAAAATAGTGACACTACCAAATTCTGGTGAGGATGCAGAGAAACTGGATTACACATATATTGGTGGTGGGAATGTAAAAATGGTGGAGCTACTCTGGAAAACAATTCAGCAGTTTTGAGAAAAACTAAACATAAATTACTATAAAACCTAGCAATTTCATTGTGGGCATTTATTCCAGAAATTTATTCCAGAAGCGAAAACTTGTGTTCACATAAAAACCTGCATTACAATTGTTCATAGCAGCTTTATTCATGATTGCCCAAAACTGGAAACAATCCAGATGTTACTCAACAGGTGAATGGTTAAACTGTGGTACATCTATGCCATGGAATACTACTCAGCAATAGAAAGAAATGAATTATTGACACACTCAACAACTTGGATTAATCGCCAGATAATTATGCTGAGTTCAAAAAGCCAATCTCAAAGGTTATATATATGATTCCATTTATATAACATTCTTGAAATGACAAAAACAGAAATGCAGAACAGATTAAGTGATCACCAGGGGTTAAGGATAGGGAGTGAGGAGTGAGGTGGGGCAGGAGGGAAGTAGGTGTGGTTATAAAAGGGCAACACAGGCATCCTTCTGATGATGGAAATGTTTTGTATCTTGACTGTATTCATATCAAGCCTTGGTTTTGATATCATACTATAGTTTTGTAAGATGCTACAAATGGAGGAGAGTGGTAAAGGATACTGGGATCTATTATTTTTTTTTTTACAAATGTATGCATTTCTACAGTTATCTAGAAACTAAAAGTTTAATAAAAAAGGAAAAAAAAGAACAAACCCACAAATCATACTACTTATTTATTGAACACCTGTTGTGCGGCCACGCCCTATTTAAGGTAATCTCACGAATGTTATTTCTTATTTAATTTTCATGAATGCCTAAAGATTATACCCATTTCCCAAATAATCTTTCATGAAATACTAATTCTTTGTGACATTAATAGCCTTCCTTGGAGGTACTATGTAAAAGGAAATCTCTAGTCAAGTAGGTTTAAGAAAGACAAAAACAATTTTGTTTTAACTGTAGGATTTTTAAGGTATCTAATATCTAATGAACTTTATAAATATTCAAAACAAGGCCATCATAGACAGCTCCCTTTAATCTTCCCATGTCTTTAATTTTGGAACCCTAGTTTTCACATGATGCCCATGAACAACTTGTCTGAAGACCCAGTATTCCCTATAATATAACAATAAGTGTTGGGTTATAGTTTTCTTCCAACATCTCTACTGAAGTGAGCTTTTGTGTGTTATTTCAATTTAGGCTATAGATTTACTGTCATAGGTCTGAGTATACTTCAATCATAGTACAGATGATCCAAACTACTTACCACGTAACAATATAAATAGATCGAAGTACTAATGTAAAGACCAACATTCCATACATGACCTAAATAGGAATGGAAAATGAGGTTAGTATAATAATTATTCTTTGGCAAAGGAAGTCTATTTTGCCTACCAAAATAGCCTTCCCAATTAAATGTAAATATTTATTATCCTTCGTTACATTTTAGAGAATAGAATTTTTAAAAATATGTTAAATCACTAAGTCATGCTAACTTCTGAGGAAAAGTTAAGAGCCTGCTTAACTTTATTAAATAACCAATATCAGAATTCCTATATCAATTTTAATTCTGAATGGATCTTTGAAATTTTAAATATCTGCTGAAACCTGAACAAATGTAATTTTGCCTCATACTCTTTAGCTCCTCTCTTCTCTTTAGCTTTGCTTTCAGCAAATACAGTAATTGTGCTTCCCATTTTACAATATTATAAGCCTGAATTCTTTTAACTCTTCTAAATGCCTCTGCATTCATGTGCATCCTCCCCTGGCATTCTTTCTCATCCCTAGTCTCCAAAAAAGGTGCCCACTTCTTGACTAAGGTTAATCCATTTTCCTGTGTTCTTTATTCTATATGTTCCCATATCTTCCTAGCGTTGGCTCTTCTTTCTTTTCTGTATTGAGCATTAGATGAGTATTAGTACCTGGAAAATTGAACCTAGTGGGAAAATATGATTTAGCAAATACATATAAAGCCAATAGTTGAGAAAGCACCACCCAGGTCAAGAAGTAAATCCTTGTTAACCCCCCAGAAGTGCTGCATTTGTGTCTTCCCAGTCCAACCCTCTCCCTTCCTTTTTAGAGGAAACCCCTCTCCTGACTTGTATAATAAACATTGTTTTGCTTTTCTTTATATAATTACTAACTTAAAGTAGTCATCTACAAATGCATTCCTAAGTAATTAATAATACTGTTTGCTTTTGAGTTATAATAGAACTTTGATTAAGTTTTATTTTATTACTCATTTCTTTTGAGGCAGGGTCTTTTGTCATCTAGGCTGGAATGTAATGGCATGATCATAGCTCACTGCAGCCTTGATCTCCCAGGCTCAAGCCATCCTCTTGCCTCAGCCTCCCAAGTAGCTGGGTGGGACTAGAGGTGTGCGTAACCATATCCTGGTTAATTTTTTTCTTTTTAGTATAGACGAGGTCTCACTATGTTGCCTAGGCTGGTCTCAATCTTATGTGGATAAGGGTAGAAAAGAAGCTGTGTATATGAATAGCTCTGGGTCTTCTGATGAGATGAAGATGCTACATCTGCTATAACTCTCACCCTGTATCCCTGTATAAAGCTGAGTAAACATAGTATTACATTAAAGCTTATTAGAGTCTCATTGCCAGCTTAAATCCATAACCGCAGCTCAAATGGTGAATAAGACAGGCGTAATCCCTATACTCACAGCAATTACAATCTAGTAAAGGGAGAAATAAGTAACCAGGCAATTGTAATACAGTATTATAACTCTATGGCAGGAACTGTACAGAGTACTTTGTAAACACATAGGAAGGCCACCTAATCCAGACTTACACAGTAGAAAGTCTTTCTAGAGGATATGGTGTTTAAAATTTTATACCTGAAGCTCATGTAACAGTTACCTTAAAAGAAAGTGGAAGAGAGTTATTGTCATATCTTATATTCCAGAGACAAGGAGGAAAAAAAGATCCTTATAGTATATTGTTGTAATATAGAATAGGAAAAATGGAGTCAGAGACCAGAGGTCAAATTTGGCCTTTCAAGTCATGTTAAGGAGCTGGACTTTATATAACAGTAACAGAGGCTGGGTGTGGTGGCTCACACCTGTAATCCCAGCACTTTAGGAGGCTGAGGCAGGTGGATCACTTGAGGTCAGGAGTTCGAGACCAGCCTGGCCAACATGGTGAAACCCCATCTCTACTAAAAATGCAAAAATTAGCCAGGTGTGGTGGCAGATGCTTGTAATCCCAGCTACTTGGGAGGCTGAGGCACAAGAATTGCTTGAACCCAGGAGGCGGAGGTTGCAGTGAGCTAAGATTGCACCACTGTACTCCAGCCTGGGTGACAGAGCAAGACTCTGTCTCAGGGGGGAAAAAAAAAAAAAAGGCTGGGTGGGGTGGCTCACACCTGTAATCCCAGCACTTTGGGAGGCCGAGGTGGGTGGATTACCTGAGGTTAGGAGTTCCAGACCAGCCTGGCCAACATGGTGAAACCCCATCTTTACTAAAAAATACAAAAAATTAGCTGAGTGTGGTGGTGGGTGCCAGTAATCCCAGTTACTTGGGAGGCTGAGGCAGGAGAATTGCTTGAACCCAAGAGGCAGAGGTTGCAGTGAGCCAAGATGGTGCTATTGCACTCCAGTCTGGGCAACAAGAGCAAGACTCCATCTCAAACAAAACAAAACAAAACAAACAAACAAACAAAAAGGAAAAATAATGGAAAGTCAATGAAAGTTTCACCAATAGATAACATGGTCAGACTCATGTATTAGAAAGAGTCCCTGTTGTGCTGAGTGGAGAATGAGAGGGAGGTGAGACTGACAGGAAACAGACCAATGATAACGTGTTGCAGTAATCTAAGTGAGAGATGGAGACCTGAACTAGGGTAATAGAGGGGAGATGCAGAGAAGTGAACAGATTAGAGATTTAGGGTTCAGACTAATCATTAATTTGAATGGAAGTTAGAGAGGGGGAAAGACAAGGATGATGGCCTGGTTTATGGCATGGACAGTTAGATGCATGGCAAAATTAATTATTGGATTAGAGAATATATGAAGAGAAGAAAGACTAGGGAGAAAAATGGTGAGTTCACTTCTGCATATACGTTCAGAGTTTGATGTGCCAGTGAGATAGCTAAGTAGAGACATCTAGCAGAAGTTGGATACCTAGGTCTATAGTTTAGAAGAAAAATCAGAGCTGAAGAAATAGAACTGTCAGCATATAGGAGTCAATGGGAATGAATTTCCCAGAGATTTGTTGAGCATACGAAATGATGGATTAGGAAAGAACGTATGCCTTGGCAACATCATGGGACTTTTTCAAATTAACTTTCTTCTCTCCAGAGCACACTTACCCCATACTTTTGATGCTCCCCATTGCTAGTGGCCTACCCAGTATTCATTCCCTCCTTCCAACTATATAGAAACTGATTTTATCTGGCTGGCAGCATGCAAGTTTGATTTCTCAACTTATAGAGGTTTTTTTTTTTTAAGTAAAAAAGATGATAGAATATAGACTTTTCTGGTCCTTTTTATAATTTTTATCTAACAATACATATATTTTTATAGTGAAATTTTATCTATATTTAATAGTTGTTTTCAGTCTCCGGACTCCAAAGGCTATAAAAGTATTATTAGTGTTTTCTCTCTACTAAAGCAACTAATAAAAGTTAAATCAGGATAACACAGAGAAGGATGGGCTATAATTTTAGATAGAGTTGTTAGATAAGGTCTCTCTGCTAAGTTAACATTTAAGCAGAGACCTGAATGAATGAGGATATAAACCATGTAGATAGCTGGGGTACTAGTATCCTAGGCAGTGGTAATAGTGAGTGCCAAAGTCCTAAAGTGAAAACATGCTTATTGTGTTTGAAATATAAAGCAAGACTCACTGTGACTGGAGAGAGTGAAGGAGGGGCAAGTGGAAGGACATCACCCTACCCTAACATGTTTTTTTTTTTTAATAGCAGTTATCACCTTCTAGCAAGTATGTATACTATATAAATTTACTTGTTATATCTATAGTGTATTGTTTCATATCATCCTATAGCACTGTTTTTTTTTTTTTTTTTTTTTTTAAATCCTTTCTCAATGGACTAGAGCAACAGAAATCAAACTTGTCTCTTTCCTTGGCCTTTTACTTCCTTCCTCCAGACCCTAGGTAGCCTTTCAATGATCTTTCTATAATGAGAATCTCATCTGGTCATACTGCAGCTTAAAACCCTTTAATGGCTCCTGACTGCTTATAATTTTAAGCATAGTATAAAGGGCTCCTCATGACCTAACCCCTCATCAGTAATCCAAACCCATCTCCTACAGCTAGGGCCAGCCACACCAAATATTTATAGTATACCAATGCTTTTAAAACTTTTCTACGAAATACTCCCAGTAGCAAAGGAAGAATGACTTATTCCTGATGGACAGAGATGGGAGAGGCACACTGAAAACACAAACTTCTTTGAAGTTTCTTATTTCATCCTAAAAATTCATGTGGTCATTGTACTCAATTCTATAACATATTTATATTTGTTTTAACTTTAAAAAGTTTAATCCCAGCTGAGCATGATGGCACATGCCTGTAATCCCAGCACTTTGGGTTGCCAAGGCGGGTGGATCACATGAGGTCAGAAGTTTGATACCAGCCTGGCCAACATGAAAAAACCCTGTCTCTACTGAAAATACAAAAATTAGGTCAGGAGTGGTGGCTCACGCCTTTAATCCCAGCACTTTGGGAGGCCGAGGTGGGCAGATCACTTTAGGTCAGGAGTTCAAGACCAGCCTGGCCAACATGGCGATACCCCGTTTCTACTAAAAATACAAAAATTAGCCAGGCGTGATGGTGCACACCTGTAGTCCCAGCTACCTGGGAGGCTGAGGCATGAGAATAACGAACCCGGGAGATGGAGGTTCCAGTTAGCCGAGATTGCGCCACTGCACTCCAGCCTGGGTGACAGAGTGAGACTCCGTATCAAAAAACAAAAACAAAAAAAGTTTAATCCCTGCAATATAGTTGAATAAAATAAATGTTATAGGCAAATAGGAATGTTGAGATACAGTCAGTGATTTTGTAAACACCTCAACATGCTACCACAAATCCCTGGGTGAACTTGTACTCCTGTTTCATGTGCAAGAGTTACCAATTCACACTTCTGTACCTTAACACAGGGGTCCCCATCCCCCAGACTGGTACCCGTCTGCAGCCTTTTAGGAACTGGACTGCACCGCAGGAGGTGAGCTGCAGGCAAGTTAGCATTATCGCCTGAGCTCCGCCTGTTATCAAATCAGCAATGGCATTAGATTCTCATAGGAACACAAACACTATTGTGAACTGCACACACAAGGGATCTAGGTCGTGTGCTCCTTATAAGAATCTAATGCCTGATGATATGAGGTAGAATCCCAAAACCATTCCCTGGCTGTCTGTGGAAAAACTGTCTTCCACAAAATCGGTCACTGGTGCTAAAAAGGTTGGGGACTGCTGCCTTAACACATGCTTCTCTATAGATGGAATAGCCTGTCTCTACTTCTCTACCTGTGACATTTTGTTCATCTTCAAGACTCTCCTGAAGCCCCTCTATGAGTCATCTAAGTAGACAGAGCATACCCTTGTCTATATTACCACTGCTTTTACATATTTATCACAAGACTTATATACTGCAATTATTTTTTACAAGTCTATATTACTGATTAGATAATGATCTTCTTGAGATTAGTGGCCATATCTTATTTGCCTATGTATACTAATGTTAGTTAACATTTATTGTTTACTATGTGACAAGGGTTTTATATGCATTATTTCATTCAATCCTCAAACTTAGGAGGTTATTATAGAGAGAGTGAAGTTCCATGAGGGCAGGGCTTGTTATTTTATTCACTAGTGTATGTATCTCTTGTGCCTAGTACAGTGCCTGGAACATTGAAGGCACTTAAAAAGGGTTTGTTCAGGCTGGGCACGGTGGCTCACACCTGTAACCCTGCCTGAGCTTCACCAAGGTGGGAGCTGAGGCGAGCAGATTGCTTGAGCTCAGGAGTTTTTGAGACCTGCCGGGCAACATGGTAAAACCCATCTCTACAAAAGATGCAAAACAGCCTGTTGTAGTGGTGTGTGCCTGTAATCCCCACTACTTGGGAGGCTGAGGCGGGAGGACCGCGTGAGCCCAGGAGGTCAAGGCTGTAGTGAGCTGTGATGGAGCCACTGCACTCCAGCCTGAGTGACAGGGCGAGGCTCTATTTAAAAAAAAAAAAGGTGGGGCCGGGCGCGGTGGCTCAAGCCTGTAATCCCAGCACTTTGGGAGGCCGAGACGGGCGGATCACGAGGTCAGGAGATCGAGACCATCCTGGCGAACACGGTGAAACCCCGTCTCTACTAAAAAATACAAAAAAAACTAGCCGGGCGAGGCGGCGGGCGCCTGTAGTCCCAGCTACTCGGGAGGCTGAGGCAGGAGAATGGCGTAAACCCGGGGGGCGGAGCTTGCAGTGAGCTGAGATTCGGCCACTGCACTCCAGCCCGGGCGACAGAGCCAGACTCCGTCTCAAAAAAAAAAAAAAAAAGTGGGGCGATTGTTGAACAATGAGGAAACCAAAGCTCAGAGAGGTTAACTAACTTGTCCAGGGTGTACAGTTAGTAAGTGGAGGAGACTAGATTTTAAATCCAGGTCTGCTTGACTGTATGTAGATCATAAAGTCTTTGCTTTGCTGCCTGTCTGCAAATTCCAGCTCAGAATTTGGTACAGAGAAGGCAGATAGTAGACATCTGTTGAATGAATGAATGTCTTTTACCTTTAGATTACTTATTTGCTTCACCCTAGCATTTCCTTATTTCTTCATTTCTCTATCCTGATTTTTAATCTCTAGGCCAACGACACAAGCCACAGTGGGTATGGATAGACCTAGCTTTCATCCTGCTTCTCTTCTTATCAGTAAATATTACTGCTATACATAGAGAAGAAAATCTTTATTAGTGGAAAAACACATGGATATTGCACTAGGGGTAGTTACTTATTAAGAGTTGTTTTTTATTACATAGTGTCAAATAGTTCTAAAACACAAAATGAAAAATAGATGGTCATAAAACTTGTAAAAATTAACCCAGAATTTCCAAATTTTATATTTTTGTGGTCATTATTTTTCTTTCTTAGTAAAGGCGAACAAGAAGTTCATAAAAACTAAGGTATTTATACAGGTTAACTTCATTTATTTATTATTATTTTAAAAGAGATGTTGCCTGGGCTGGAGTGCAGTGGCACAATCATAGTTCACTGCAGGTTTAAACTCCTGGGCTCAAGGGATCCTCCTGCCTCAGCTTCCCGAGTAACTAGGAATACAGGCATGTCCCACCATGCCTGATTAATTTTTATTTATTTATTTATTTATTTTTTGCTATGTTGCCCAGGTTAGTCTCTTAACTTCTGGCTTCAAGCAATCCTCCCACCTCAGCCTCCCAAAGGACTGAGATTATAGGCATAAGCTACTGTGTCTGGCCAACTTTGTTTTTTATACTGTTAATAAAACTTTCTAAATAAAAGAGTAATTACATAATGGCATAATTTCAAGTTACAGTAAACAAGAAAGTGAGGATGTCTTTTTTTTTTGAGACAGAGTCTCATTCTGTTACCCAGGTTGGAGTGCAGTGGTATGATCTCAGCTCACTGCAACCTCTGCCTCCTGGGTTCAAGTAATTCTCCTGCCTCAGCCTCCCAAGTAGTTGGGATTACAGGTGCACACCACCATGCCTGGCTAATTTTTGTATTTTTAGTAGAGATGGGGTTTCACCATGTTGGCCCAGCTGGTTTTGAACTCCTGACCTCAACTGATCCACCCACCTCGGCCTCCCAAAGTGCTGGGATTACAGGTGTGAGCCACCACGCCCGGCCGTGAGGATGTCTTTTCTGTAGCATTTATTTTAGTTCATCCACCTGCAACTGACCTGGAGAAAAGCAAGGCATAATAATGTGGTTATAGAATATACTTCAAAAGCTAGGTTCCAGTTAGATGATTATTGTATAGCTTGAATTGTAAAAGTTACAAGAACATTAGTAAATGTTTATATAAGCACAAAATATTTTAAAACTGTGGCACTTCTGAAAAGCGTGCTTATTTATTCATTTTTGTTTGCTAGTTTGTTAAAAGAATGTTGAAAAGGAGTCAGACAAATCTAGGTTATAATCCTGGTTCTCCCCCTTAATAACTGTGTCACCTTAGGGCAATTATTTAATATTTCTGAGCTCATTTTCCTTGAAATGTATATAATAATTCCCAATTAGTTGGACTGTTGGTGAGATTAGAAGTCTGTGTAGTAGTGAGCGTAGTACCAGGCACGTGGCAGCACTCAAAGGCCTGCTTCTTTATTTCACTCTGGTTTCATAATGGCATGCACTTAAATCACCATTTCCTACACTAAAGTTTCCTGTGTCCGCTTCCTTCAATGTACATCACCTCCCATGTCAAAAATGCATTAAAATATATTAGGGGGAAAATGTTCAAGGAATTTTCAGTCTGTCTTTTCTAGATGTCATAAAAAGACTTTATGTGTATGTGCATAATGCTTCCTGGTTCTTTCTGCTTATAATAGCAATGTTGCACCTGTATTACTGAATACCAACAGCCAGCTGGACCTGCACATTGGCTATCCCAGGTATATTCCTGTTACCTACACTAAGCTCCTGTAAGCATTTGAGTTTGCAACCTCTCTTAAACACTGAACTTCCTTAGAACATCTACCATTTCATTAAAAAATTTTTTTTATCTGCATATCATTTCTTAGACAAGGAAATCACAAAGCAGCCATGTATCGTTAAACAATCTAATGTGTAATAATTTACAAAAAATTACCTGATGGAATATTGGCTCTTTTACCTTAAGGTAAACCTGCAAAATATTAGAAAAAACACGTGAATGAAGTACATTATGAAGGGAAGAAAAACCAATTCCAACTACTCTGCAAATCCCAAACCTCTTCTGCTTCCCCCATCTTACTCAGACTTGAATCCAGCCATGTAAAAGCAATCAGATCAAGTGGCATGCCACAAGAAGGCTGCGAGCTACAGGAGGATTTCCTTAGTGCTAGCCCTGTTATAGTGAGCAGAATGTTTTAGATCTGTTGTGGACCACTGCAAACTCTGCATCAGTATCAAGGAGGGATAAGGATACATGGATACTCATGAGGAGTGAAGAAGTTATGTTGACAATCCCCGTAGCAGATCTGTTCTACAACAGAGAGAACACCGGACGTAGAGATAGGAGTAAATTTCAACCTCTGCCACTTACTTGCTACAGGCCTTGGACAAGTTAACTAAAAGACGCATCCTTCCTCATCTGGATAATGAACAATAATAGTGGTGAGGAATGATAAGCTAAAATACCTGAAAGTGTCTAGCATACAGTAGGGGCTCAGTAAGTGAAGACATTTAAAACAAATTTCTTGTGCTTTCTTATGCTTCCAGAAATCTCTAACTCACCTTTCTAGATGCATTCGCAGTTACACAAACCCTAGTTGTAGGTTCCAATGTCATGTGGATGATTAAGCTCAATGCCTAGTTAAGATTTAACATGTATGTATTGCCCTACAGGAGCACAATTTTTAAATGATATGGTACAGGGGAATCAAAATTCAAGTCATAACCCTGCCATGACTCTCATCACTTGCAAGATACAGTTCAAATTTCTTAGCCTTTCTGTTTGGTCTCACTATTGTCTTCTTGTCTCCTCCTCATCCAAGTCTCCAGAAAGTACTGTGCTTCCTACAATGTGCTAGTTTCACACTTCTGTATTTTTAAACATGCTGCTCTTTACTTTGTTCAGAAATCCTCCTCTACTCATTAATCATCTTTTAGGATTCAACTCAAACTATACCTCCTTCTTGAAGCCTTTTCTGATCCTTTCTCTACACAGCAGAAGCAACCAGTCACCCTCCTTTCTACCATTACTCTTCATGTATAAACTTTGTGGCATTTAATAGTTTGTTTTTTCTCCCTACAAGACTATGATATTTCTGATACTAAGTACTAGATTTAGATATTTCTATATCCTCATTTAATGTAGCAATCCCATAAAATTTTATATAATTTTATTATTTGGCTACAAAATTTCTTACTTCTGGAAGAAGTTTCTACCCTCAGTACAAAAAAAAAAAGAAAAAAAAAAAACCCAGATTATTTCCTTTAAGCATTGTGAGTTTTAAAAGTATGATGTGTATGAGATATTATATATCTGTAACTCTAAAACCAGTAAGGGAGAATGCTTTTAATCTCTGAAATTTCTTATTTCAGAATACTAATTTCCATTTATATAGGTAATGCTATCAGATTCCCATTGTGACTAATAAAAGAAATGCAAAAGGACATGCCTCATGCCTCTTAAAGACATTTTTTGTTTGTTTGTTTTGAGATGGAGTCTCACTCTGTCGCCCAGGCTGGAGTGCAGTGGCGCGATCTCGGCTCACTGCCACCTCGGCCTCCCGGGTTCACGCCATTCTCCTGCCTCAGCCTTCCCAGCAGTTAGGACTACAGGCGCCCGCCACCACGTGTGGCTATTTTTTTTGTATTTTTAGTAGAGACAGGGTTTCACCGTGTTAGCCAGGATGGTCTCGATCTCCCGACCTCGTGATCCACCCGCCTCAGCCTCCCAAAGTGCTGGGATTACAGGTGTGAGTCACCGCGCCCGGCCTTAAAGACATTTTTTAAAGCAAATAATTATGGAGTCCTTCCTATGTGTTAGGTATTGATTTTCACAACTAACATAAAATATATACTATTTTCTTCATTTAACAGATAAAGGGAACTAAGGCTGAGAGAGATTAAGTAATTTGCAAGGTCCCAAAGTTTTTAAGTAACCTGGATCCAAACTTAAATCTGACTTCAAAGTCTGTCTCTTTCACCAATTCTCTATATAAACTTAATTGGCCAGGCAAGTCACTGACAATCTCTAGACTTGATTCTCTTCTTTCATATCATAACAAGACTTCATTTCACCTCTGAAATTCTACAATTCTTTCATGATTAACCAATATGTAGTTGATATGGTTTGGCTGTATGCCCACCGAAAATCTCATCTTGAATTGTAATTTGAATTGTAATCCCTGCGTGTTGGGGAAGGGACTTTGTGGGAGGTGAACAGATCATGGGGGTGGTTCTCCCACGCCCTATGCTGTTCTCATCATAGTGAGTGAGTTCTCATGAGATCTGATGATTTTATAAGGAGCTTCTTCCCCCTTCACTCTGCACTTCTTTCTCCTGCCACCATGCGAAGAAGGATGTGTTTGCTTCACCTTCCACGATGATTGTTAAGTTTCCGGAGGTCTCCCCAGCCATGCGGAACTGTGAGTCAATTAAACTTCTTTCCTTTATAAATTATCCAGTCTTGGGTATTTCTTTATAGCAGCATGAGAATGGACTAATACAGTAGTTTAGGCAAAGTAATGTGGAAACGAGTAAATAGTGCATATGTGCCCTTTCAGCCTCCTATTCAACATCTCAACTAACTGAAATCTAGCTTCTGCCTCCATCAATTTACTACTGACAGCATCCTCATTAAGGTTACCTGGTCTTCCAACTGAAAATTTCTATTAGCTCTCAATCTTCATTGTACTCATCCTCTCAGAGGCAACTGTTCTTCCATTTTTCGCTTCTAGAAATCTTTGTACTCCATGACATCAGGCTCTCTTAGCTTTCTTACATCCCTGATTGCTTGTTCTCAGTCTCTTTTGCTAGCTCTATTTCTTCCACCTAGTCCTCAAATGTAAGTATTTCATTAGGTTGTACTTCTAGTCTTTGTCTGTTTTGAGACAGGGTCTCACTCTGTCATCCAGGCCAGAGTGCAGTGGCACAATCATGGCTCACTGAAGCCTTGACCTCCTGGGCTGAAGTGATCCTCTCACCTCAGCTTCCTGAGTAGCTGGGACTACAGGTGCATGCCATCATATCCAGCTAATTTTAAAAAAATGTTTTGTAGAGACAAAGTCTCACTATGTTGCCCAGCTGGTCTTGAACTCCTGGGCTCAAGCAGTCCTCCCATCATGGCCTCCCAAAGTGCTGGGATTACAGGTGTGAGCCATTGTGCCTGGCCCCTTTGTCATCTTAACAGCCCATGCTACTTTCTCAGGTCATCTATTCTCACATTTTTGTACTAACTATACCCTGACAATTCTCAAATCTACATCTTTAGTCCAGCCTAACTGTTAAGCCTCAGATGTCAGTAATGTCAGGCACCTCAATCTTAACACATTTCATATTGAATTTATCTCTACCCCTACCCCATGGTGCAAACCTACTCATTATCTATCCTGTAAAAGCTGTTCATCCTCCAAGTTTCCTGTTTTGATTAAAGACATACTATCTATCCTGACAACCAGGCCAGGAGTCATTCTAGACAACTCATTTTTACTCTACTTTCACTCCCTCTACTATGACGTGCGTCACATATCCTGCAGTTTGTTATTTATGACCGTTTCTTTTCAACCCCACAGCTATATTACTTTCACCTAAGTCTCATATCTTACTAAAGCAAATACAAAAGTCCCTGGGTCTAGCCTCATACTCCTGTAATCCAGCCTCCATAACCACAGCAATCTTTCTAAAACACATATCTGATTACATCTTCCCTTTAAACCAGTAATTGGCTCCACACTACCTTTTTCTTTTCTTTTCTTTTCGAGACAGAGTCTCACTCTGTCGCCTAGGCTGGAGTGGAGTGGCACGATCTCAGCTCACAGCAGCCTCTGCCTCCTGGGTTCAAGCAATTCTCCCACCTCAGCCTCCTGAGTAGGTGGGATTACAGGGGCATGCCACCATGCCCGGCTAATTTTTCCATTTTTAGTAGAGACAGGGTTTCACCATATTGGCCAGGCTGGTCATGAACTCCTGACCTCAAGGTGATCCATCAGCCTCAGCCTCCCAAAGTGCTGGGATTACAGGAGTGAGCCACCATGCCTAACTGCTCCACACTACTTCAAGGATAAAAATTTGAACTCTTGGCCGGGCGCGGTGGCTCACGCCTGTAATCCCAGCACTTTGGGAGGCCGAGGCGGGCGGAATCACAACGCTCAGGAGATCGAGACATGGTGGAGACCTCCCCGCTCTCTACCTAACAATAGACACAAACATCCACGGCACAGGCGCCTGGTACGTCCAGCTACTCGCACTGAGCAGGACCGAATGGCGTGACCTGGGAGGCAGGCTTGCAGTTGACCGAGATCTGCGCCACTTGCACCTCAAGCCTGGGGGCGGCACACGGCCACACCACACACCACACACCAAAAAAAAAAAAAAAAAAAAAAGAAAAATTTGAAACTCTTAATCACACAAGCACTCAAGCGGTAATTCTATAAATCACTGACCTCTGCTCTAACTCTCACTAGACTCATTCACTGCTCTTCAATTACCATATGTTCCAGCCATATTAAATCTTGCCCAATTCTACCAGTGGTGTTGATTTAATGAGACAATAAAGATAAAGTACATGGTTACAATATCTGGCATAAAGTAAGTGATTGAAAATGGTAGTTCACTATGTTGTTTCAAAGTTCTCTGCCTATGAACAAACAATACTGCTATCTACAAATGCTTCACCACACTCTTGCCCAGGGGCCTGATGAGCTCCTAATCATCAGCTAAATTCTAGTTCAGGTGCCTCCTCTTTTTTTTTTTTTTTTTTTTTTGAGGCGGAGTCTCCCTCTGTCCCCCTGGCTGGAGTGCAGTGGCGCGATCTCGGCTCACTGCAAGCTCCGCCTCTCGGGTTCCCGCCATTCTCCTGCCTCAGCCTCCCAAGTAGCTGGGACTACAGGCACCCTATCCAGCTAATTTTAAAAAAATGTTTTGTAGAGACAAAGTCTCACTATGTTGCCCAGCTGGTCTTGAACTCCTGGGCTCAAGCAGTCCTCCCATCATGGCCTCCCAAAGTGCTGGGATTACAGGCGTGAGCCACCGCGCCCGGCTCAGGTGCCTCCTCTTGAAAGCTTTCCTTGACCCATGCATGAAGCCTTGATTGAACCTCCTTTATCTCATCACCATAGAAGTAGTTTTTACCCCTATTATTACAGTTATTATCTTTTGATGAATTCTTTGTGTACATGCCTAAAATCTCTAATAGAATGAGCTCCTCACAGATAGCAACTGCTTTTTTTTTTTTTTTTTATCATTTCTGTATTTCTAGTGCCTGACATGGTAAGTTTTCAATAAATGTTTTTTGAAATAAATATTTTCATAATATAAAATGCAATTTATTTGAGGAAAAAAAGCATTAATGTAGGATTAGAAGTGACTAGCTATCTCAACTTACTAGGGAAAAGTTAACCATTAAAACAGTCACATTAGGACGAATGGAGCAGAGCCAATCTCTCATTTTTAACAAATAGGAGCTAATATGTCCATCTATGAGAAAAATTAATTTTTCCCTATTGCTACTAATATTTGCTTTTTTCTTTTCCCCTTTAAAAACTAAACAGAGTTTTAAAAGTATTTCAATTACAGTGAGAAGTAACATTTAAACAGGGAACAAGCGAGCAATATTTGTCAGTGTGATATTCTCGTTTTGTGTAGCAAGATTGCAGTTTGACAGCATGAAGCAAATACTGGAAGTAAAATATGCCAAACTCTATAAATGGTGAATTTACATGCTTAATCTGTTAGAAACAAAATATGACTTACTGTGGTTACTATTAAACTGAATAGAACTAAGGTAAAAAGCAGATGGTAGTTTACTGAGTTCTTGATCTTGAAACATTCAAACCTTGAAAAAAAGAGAAAGAAACTTTTAAAAGAATATATAAGTAGGAACATAAATAGAATGCTGCTTTACCACTTGCCTGTATCTCTCGATGATCGAGTGATACCTATCATTTCTTTCCACTCGTAGTCTTAGAAAACCTGCACTGCCTATTATCCTCTAAGAGGCTGGAAGGAGTAGGAGTAGACATATGACTTAAGCTGGGACAATGAAAGGCTCTTGCCTGAAAGTCTGGAGTTTGGGAGGGAGAGACTGAATCAATCCAGTATAGAGAGTCAGCTGGGCGCGGTGACCCATGCCTGTAATCCTAGTACTTCCGTAGGCCAATGCAGGAGGATCACTTGAGCGCAAGAGTTTGAGACCAGCCTGGGCAACAAATTGAGACCCTGTCTCTACAAAAAATAAAATAATTAATGGGCATGGTGGTGCATGTCTGTAGTCCCAGCTACTCGGGAGGCTAAGGTGGGAGGAGAGCTTCAGTCTGGGAGACAGAGGGTCTGGATGACAGAGCAAGACCCTGTCTCAAAAAAAAAAAAAAAAGTATAGAGAGTCAAAGTCATATGGACTCAAGGTCTGAGGCTGATATTTGGGGGCAGCCAAATTGAATGAAGAAGTAGATGAATGAGCAGAAGTAATCTGCAGGGAGAGAAAAATATAGCAGATACAAAGACGTGAAGCATGTGGAGAGGAAGGAATGGCAAAAAGAAGGAAGGGGGAAGAACCTGCCCTTCCAGTTCTAGTAAGGTGGGGCTGTACTTCCTGCTATTGGGTCCCATATAATTTCCTCATATCCTTACAATAAATAAATAATCTCTCCTAATTCAAGCTAGCTTGAATAGGTTTCTATATCTTGCAACTAATGATTCCTAAAGAACATTATTGGAGAAAATACCAGTCTATTATAATTGTCTCTTTCCTTATCCATCTCCTCAACTAGCCTGAGAATTCCTTGTGTGCAGGAATAAATTTTATTTTTTTCATATATCTAGCACAAAGATAATGCTTAACACATACGAGGTATCCGGTAAATATGCAAATATGAACAGACAATTGGCCATCAGTGAGTATCCAATCCAACCTTTGAGGACTGTGACTTGGTATAGGCAGCAAGAGTGTTCTCTCAGTTTACTATTGGCTGTGGGAATTGGACCAACTCTTATTTTCTTGTCTGTAAGGAAAGGTGGTTAGAAGAGGCGCTTTCTAAGATCTCTTTTACCTTTAAATTTTGCGACTTGGATAATGATGAAAATATTAGGTGAAGTATTAGTTTTTACTTTTAAACTCTATTATTCCAAATTTTAAAGCAAGTTATCTATTAAGAAACCAAGGTCTTTAGGAGGCCTGGCTTGTATTTATTACCATGGTTATTTCACTTTATTACATATAGTCACTTTCTTATCTGTCTCCTTCCTCAGACAATGAGTTCCTTGACTCTGTATATACAGAGTCTAGGATCATGCCTAAAATAAAGGAGGTTTTCCAGTACATGTTTCACAAATGAACAAGCACACAGAAGGCAAGACAGATTTAAAAATCATTAGAGGCCGGGTGCGGTGGCTCACGCCTGTAATTCCAGCACTTTGGGAGACTGAGGCGGGAAGATTGCTTGAGGTCAGGAGTTTGAGACCAACCTGGGCAACATGGCGAAATCCCGTCTCTACAAAAATTCAAAAATTAGCTGGGCATGGTGGAGCACACTTGTAGTCCCAGCTACTTGGGAGGCTAGGTAGGAGGATGACTTGAGCCTGGGATGAGGAGGTTGCAGTGAGCCAAGATCATGCCAATGCACTCCAGCCTGGGTGAGAGCTAGACCTCATATCAAAAAAGAAAAAAAGCAATACTATTGAAAATAGCATCCTACCCATGAAAAACAGAGGGTTAATTTTCACAAAGATCTATTCACTTAAAATCACAAAACGTCACTGAGATAAATTAAAGGAACCTAAATAAATGGAGAAATATACCACAGTCATGGTTTGGGAGACTTAGTATTGTTAAGATAGTAATTTTCCTCAAACTGGTCTATAGAGTCGAAGAAATTACAGTCAATCTTCCAGCAGACTATTTTGTAAAAATTGACAAGCTGACTCTAAAATTTATGTGGAAATGCAAAAGGCCTAAAATTTCCAAAGCTACACTGAAAAAGAACAAAATTGGAGGACTTACTCAGTAACTGACTTCAAGATTTACAATAAAGCTACAGTAACTACACAGTATGAGGATACACACAGTGATCAATAAAACAGAATTGAGAAAAATGTCAAGATAATTTAATGCAGAAAGAATAATCTCAAAGATGGTTCTGGAACAACCAGATACTGGTTAAAAAAAACATGATCTTTGACAAAACTAACTCAAAATGGATCATGGACCTAAATGTAAAATAAAGTTATAAAACTTCTAGAAAAAATAAACAAATAAACAAAATATCTTTGATCCTGGGAAGGCAAAGATCTATTAGGACACAAAAACACTATTCATAAACATTTAAAAAATAAATTGGATTTCATAACAATTTAAAACTTCTGTTCTCCAAGAGACATTAATTGAGAAGACAATTCACAGACTGGAAAAAATACTTAAAATACAAATATCTGAGAGTACTTGAACCCAAAATACATAAAGAATTTTTACAATTTAAAAAGAAAAAAAAGCTAGTTTATAAAAATGGGGGCTGGGTGCAGTGGCTCATGCCTGTAATCCCAGCACTTTGGGAGGCCGAGGCAGGCAGATCACAAGGTCAAGAGATTGACACCATCCTGGCCAACATGGTGAAACCCCGTCTCTGCTAAAAATACAAAAATTAGCTGGGGGTGGTGGTGGGCACCTGTTGTCCCAGCTACTTGGGAGGCTGAGGCAGAAGAATCACTTGAACCCGGGAGGCGGAGCTTGCAGTGAACTGAGATCATGCCACTGCACTCCAGAATGGCAACAGAGCGAGACTCCATCTCAAAAAAAAAAAAGGAAAAAGGTTTGAATAGATAGTTCTCAATATAACATATACAAATGGATGATTAGAATATAAAAAGATGCACATCATTAGTCACTAAGACAATACAAATTAAAACACCACAGAGATAGTATATCATACTCACTAGAATGACCAAAATAAAAAAGACTGATAATACCAAGTCTTGGCAAGGATATGGAGCAAATGGAATTTTCATATATTGCCAGTAGAACCATAATAAGGTGCAATTAAATTGAAAAACAGTTTGGCAGTTTCCTATAAAGTAACACATATACTTACCATACAACACAGAAATTCCACTTCTAGTTATATAACCAAGAGAAATGAAGTCATATATCCATACAAAGACTTGTTAACAGGTGTACATAGTCCATTTATTCATAGTAGCCCCAAACTGGCAACAACCTTAATGTTCAACATTGGTAAACAGTATAAGATAGACTACTACTAATGATGTATGTAACAACATAGATGAATGTATTCATCAGAAGTAATTGGCAAATTAGTGCCCTCAAAAAATATTACACTGAATAAAAGAAGCTAGTTACAAAAGAGTACATATGGTATAATTTCTTTTATATAAAATTCCAGAGCAGACAAACTAATCTATAATTATAGAAAGGAGATCAGTGGTGGTCTGGAGGCCAGGGTAGGGGTCAGTATTAACTGTAATGGGTCAGAAAAGAATGTTCTAAAGTGATAGAAATGTTCTGTTTCTCTTTCTTGCCATAAGGGTAATGGGTACATAGGAGTATACATTTGTCAAGACTCATCAAACCATACACTTAAACTAGGTGCATTTAATTCCATGTAAACTATGTGTCAATACAGTGGATTAAAAATTATTTCACCCCTTTCATTTCCTTCTATGTGTCACTTAAAGCGTACTACAGCAGGGTCTTTCTGAATGGGGGAATATGAGCGTAAACAGATACTGCAGAAGATTGCCGAGGAAAGATTAGAATCAAGAGACATACTTTTTGAGAAACAAAAGCTTTGCCAATAAGTTTGTTTTTATAAACAATTAAATCATTTATTTTAATCTTCATGGGGAATTTATAAGTACTATAACCTCCACTTTTACAAATGAAGGAACAAAGATTAAGTGACTTAAGCTCATTCAGTTACTAAATATCAGAGCTGAAAATTGAACTACAGTATCAGTATCCTTATCTTCTAAGTAATATCTGCTGTTCCCTAGCATTAAAACTGTTTTTTCTTTCTTTCCTTCTTTCTTTCTTTCCGTCCTTCCTTTTTTTTTTTTGAGACAGGGTCTTGCTCTATCCCCTAGACTAGAGTGCAGTGGTGGCACAATCATAGCTCATTGCAACCTCGACCTCCTGGGGCTCAGGCAATCCTCCTGCCTTAGCCTCCTGTGTAGCTGGGACCACAGGTGTGCACCATCATGTGAGCTAATTGTTTAATTTTTTTGTAGTGACAGGGTCTCACTATACTGCCCAGGCTGGTCTTGAACTCCTGGGCTCAAGCAATACTCCTGCCTTGGCCTTCCAAAGTGCTGTTATTACAGATGTGAGCAACTGTGCCCGGCTCCTAGCACTAATACTTAAAGAGTTCCTTGTACCCATTATATGATGGTTATCTGATTCAATATAGTCATAAGTGCTAGCTCAAGAATATCTTCTCCTAAAGATATATAAACATCAGAATAGTTTTTAAAATATGTTATTAAAGGAGTTTACCTTATTTTTTTAGAACAAGGTGATAAACTATGGATCAAGGCCAATCTCTTGGCCTGAGCCTGTTTTTTTGTTAGTTTGGTATTGTTTTTTGTTTTTCTTGAGACAGGGTCTCCCTCTGTTACCCAGGCTGAAGTGCAGTGGCACAATCATGGTTCACTGCAGCCTCAACCTCCTGGGCCCACGTGATTCTCCCACCTCAGCCTCCCAAGTAGCTGGGATTATAGGCATACACTACCATGCCTGACTAATTTTTTAATTTTTGTAGAGACGAGGTCTCCCTATGTTGCCTAGGCTTATCTTGAACTCCTGGGCTCAAGCGATCCTCCCACCTTGGCCTCCAAAAGTGTTGGGATTACATGTGTGAGCACTGTGCCCAGCTAAACCTGTTTTTTAAAATAAAATTTTACTGGAACAAAGGAGTCATATTCATTTATTTACATATTATATGTGGCAGCTTCCAAGCTACAGCAGCAGAGTTGAAGAGCTGCAACAGAGACTCCTGTCCCACAAAGCCTAAAATAGTTACCATCTGGCCCTTTACAGAAAAAGTTTTCTGATCCCCGTTCTACATCTTTTTTTATGGGGGGACAGGGTCTCACTCTGTCACCCAAGCTAGAGTGTAGTGGTGCCATCTCAGCTCACTGCAGCCTCTGCCTCCTGGGTTCAAGCGATTCTCCCACCTCAGCCTCTCAAGTAGCTGGGACTATAGACACACATCACCACACCTGGTTAATTTTTTGTATTTTTACTAGAGACAGGTTTTCACCATGTTGGCGAGGTTGCTGTTCTATATCTTCGTACCTAACTTCGAAATAGGGCTTGATGCCATATGGGTCATAGCAGCTAGATGGGCATTCTTACTTTTATTGTTTCTGGATAAAGATCAGTCTTAGTAAAGGTAAGAGCCAATAGTGATATAGTTGGTTATAGCTAACTAAAAATAAAAGAAAAAAAACCTTTCAATTACTTTAGTGTGTACCATTAACTTTGAGAGAGGTATCAGGAAGTAGAAGTCAGATATGAACTGCTTTAAATTGTGGCTCCACCACTTAAAAGTGTCTCAGGATCCTTAGGGTGTTGCTTTTCTAGCTGGAAACCTCTGTGGCTGGTGGCACCTTTGCCAGAGTTTTGTTCTAGCCCACTGGGCTCATTCTGCCCACTCGGTCTGGCAGGCTGCACTTGGCTCATGCTAACAGCCTGGATCCCATGCCTGCTAAGGGGAAGCCAGGCATGGAGCAGTGAGAGGTGTGTGAATGGGCAAGCTTGGGGTCTGATCACTGTGCACAGCCAGGCACACTGGCTGTTGTAGCAGGGCAGGCAGCTTCAGAAGCCAGCAAAGGCACTGTCTCCATGTAAGCCTGTGGTTTGATCAGATACACCATAAGCATCTTCCACTGTGGGCACCCACATCTGGACAAGGGGAATGCTTGGTGCCTGGAAACTTGGAGATGCCAGAAACCACCAAGCCCCAAAAAGGGTGTCACAGCCCTGGCTCACAGAGCCCCTAGGTCTGGGCTCTCCGAAGTGCCACGGCTCTTCTCTCCTCATCACCTGCAACGTGGCAAGTGTGGGAGAGGGATATGTTTCAGCCCTGTTTGTGTTACATCTCTTTCAGTCCACCATTTGGCAGGTCCTAAGTTCTTGTCCTGCATCCAGGAAGAATGAGGTATGTGGACAACTGAAGGATAAGCAAGGTGGAGAGGAGCTTTATTGAGTGACAGAACAGTTCTTGGGAGACCCAAAGTGGGTAGCTCCTATCTGCAGGCAGGTCATTCCAACGAATGTCCAGCTCTCAGTGGAGAGGAGACCCAGAGTGGGTAGCTCCTATCCACAGGTGGATTCTCCAGTCATCTGTGTGAGTCTGGCTGGGTCTGGGGTTTTTATGGGCTTAGAAGGGAGGAAGTGAGTTCTGACTGATCCATAGACGGCCATGGGAGGACTTGGAAAAAGCACTATAAGTTATCACTGTGGGCCACAGACTCCACCTGTAACTGACAGCCTGGCCTCCAGGCTTCAGGCCGTCCCCGGCTTGAAGGCATAGCTTCACTGGGGACTGCCCCTTGCTGCCCAGGAGCCTGTCTGCCTCCTGCCGCCATCAATGTATGGCCCAATTGCCCAGGCTGTTCTTGCAGAGGGGTGCCTGCAGGCCCATGCCAAGCTGCCCTCGTTCCCCACCTCGGCCTCCCTCCAATGCTTGTTGGTGCCCAAAGTCCAGAGGGGGCTGAGGTGGCAGGGGGCTGGCATGTCAGCACCACCCCAAGCACATGCACACCTTGCCAGGTTATGATAGCACCTGGCCTCGGTCACAGCTTTGCTCTGTCCTGGAGTGGGTGCTGGGAGCGGAGAGAGGCCAGGCAGTGGGAGCAGGCACTTTCAAGCCTGCAGGGGCAAGGGGCTTCCTGGAACTCCAAGAGCACAGGGATGCCCAGGTCCAGAGCTGTGGCTGGGCAGCTGCAGCTGTGCCCAGGAGTGTGGGGCTCCTGCCCCACCGACTCAGTAGGGGACGGAGTTCCCACCTGTTTCCTGCCCCCGCCAGCTCTGCCTCCCCTGCTGCAGCCAGCATCTTTGCAGTGGCTGCTCTAACTGGGCTGCTGCTGCCCTCAAAAGCCTTGTTACTAGGGCCTGACTCAGGCATGTGGGTCCCTACATAAGCTAGTAATTTTTTTCCCCTCCAAACACATATTCTTAACATACTTGTCCAACGTTTAAAGAAGGCTGATGCTGCAGGATAATGGGTGAAGGCGGCTTTCCTCTCATGTTCCCAGTGACTTAGCTACAGCCCAAACCTGCATACCCTAACTTACTCAAATAGAAGACCTATAGCTAACCTCACCCACCCTCCTTAGAAGGCACATTATTTGATCATGCAGTACAGGAAGGGTCCCACTTCCACACTTCTTCCACATACCCAGGCAGCCTATCAAAGTGTTCTCCCAACCTCTCCTTGAGAGGAATTATGATCATTGTAATTTTCTCCATCATGATATATTTCCAGGGATATTTCAGTGTTCCTTAGAGACTGTTTACCTGGACAGTGGCCTGGCTGGTATGCTTTTAAATCAAGCTCTGTTTTTGTCCATAGACAAGTTACTACATTTCTCTGTGCTTTACTTCCTTGTCTATAAAATGGGGACAATACCCATTTATCTTGCATAGTTGCTGAGAATTAGAGATGGCATTATACAGTGCCTAGCACAGTACAAAGTAGATAAATATTGGCATTTATTAATGTTACTATCATAATCATTTTTATCTTACAAGATTGATTTTTTCCCTGACATTCAGAAAATGCATATTAACTTGATAATAAAGTAAACAGAATATAATACAGTAAGAGAACTTTGGATTGGGAATGGCCTGTAAACTGTTTCCATATTTGTAAATAATCAATCAAAATAAGTATATTCTTGAGAGCATTTAGTCTACCTTAGAATAAGAAAACAAGTGTCTATTTAAAAGATAACTTCAAACAAAAAGGAGATTAAGTTGACACGATCACTATACAACTAGAAGTGTACCTCACTTTTCTGGTAAGCTTCTTGTTAAACTATATTGTAGAATACAGAAACTTTATCTGAAAACTTTTATGGCATAATATGAAAATCTTTATCTAAATTTGTACACATTATTCACTTGGGAAAGGCAAATTATGCAATTTAAGCTATTTAGATTCTATCTAAATTGGCTACAGGGTTTTGAGATCACGAAAGTTAATAAACAACATTATTATAACTTCCCAGAAATTATACTCTATTTAAAATTTATAATCTTCTACACTATTATAATATTCTAGTAACATAAATGTATCAGTTATATTAATTCACTATGAGGTAAATATAAATTTTTAAATATATCAAACAATGAAATTTTAAAAGTACTTACATGCAGTACACAAATATGCAACAGCTGTATATCATTGGGAGTTCATCCAGTAGCTGTAAGAAACAAAGAAAGATAACAGGCTTGAATATCATGGAGCAGCAATTATTATGCAAATCAAAATAAGATATCAAAATGATTAAGATTTTCAGCTCTTAGATTAGGTACAGAGGCTCACACCTGTAATCCCAGCACTCTGGGAGGCGAAGGTTGGAAGATCGCTTGAACTTGGGAGTTTGAGATCAGCCAGAGTAACACACTAATACCCTGTCTCTACAAAAACTTAAAAAAAAAAAAATCAGCAGGGCATGGTAGTGGCATGTGCCTGTAGTCCCAGCTACTTGGGAGGCTGAGGCGAAAGATCGCTTGAGCCTGAGAGGTCGAGGCTGCAGTGAGCCATGATTGCACCACTGTCCTCCAGCCGGGCAACACAGCAAGATCCTGTCTCAAAAAAAAAAAAAAAAAAAAAAGGTTTCAGCTCTTATTTCATTTCTTTTACTAATTCTTTTTATGTATTTATCATCAAATTTACTCTGAGTATGTGTGTGTAGTTTACTGTTTTTGAACAAACAAGGTTATTATCCAAGTGTCCTAATGTACATACCTAAGCAGGGTACCTGACTCACTATTCCTGGAGGGCAGACTTGTCATTGCGCTGCTCATATCATCTGGTATTACAAACTATGATATTGCACCTCCAGAAAAAAATGATGTCCATCATCTGTAGGTCCATAGGTCCTATCAGTATTCTTTTGCATTTCCATCCTTCCTATATCACCTTAAATGGATAAAGTGACTACTAACATACATAAGAAGAGGTATTAATGGACAGGGAAATAATTTTATTAATCCAAGTAAAGTATATCTTTGAGAAATAACATTTACTATTATTATTAGCAGTGATAATAATAGTAGTAATAATAATTACAGCCATTATGTGTTAAACTGCAAACTAGACACTAAGCTAGGTGTTGTAGATACCAATCTTACAGAGTTTATTTATCACTAGATATACATTTAATTAATTCTTTAATTAATAAAATGTCCACTATGTGCCAAGTAATGTGTTAAGAGCTGAGGATACAATTATAAGACATAGTTACTGCCTTCAAGGAGTTCACATTCTAATTAGAGGTTAAGGGAATGAAAGCATAGAGTAAGGATTCCAACAAAAGGAGCACACAAAAGCCAAAGAAAGTGATGGCAGGAATGAAATGAAATGGGGTGGTGAAGAAAGGCATTCTAGGAAGTAGGAAGAGAGCTTATGTAAAGTGAATGATGTATTCTGGTAAATTATCAGAATTATGAAAATAATAGCATTTGTGCAAGTTAACTATTTTTAGTCATTAATTTTTTATTTATTTATTTTTGAGACAGAGTCATGCTCTGTCACCCAGGCTGGAGTGCAATGGCACGATCTCAGCTTGAATGAGGTCTGTGGATTACATGTAGTAATAAATCAATGTTAATTATTGATTTTGTTGGTAGTATTGTGGTTATGTAGGTGAGTTTTTTTTTTTAAGATATAACTTACATACCATAAAATTCACCCCTTTTTTTTCCACCCCTTCATACAACAGTAAAAATTTATATCCCTTCTCTCCTTCACTAATTAAGTTTCAACAATGTTCGGCTTTCAGTTCTTCACATTTCTTTCCTACCACAAGACCTTTGCATATGCTGTTTCTTCTACTTAAGCTTCTCCTCTTCCCCCAGTCCCCCTTTACCTTAATCACTTCTGGATATTTTTCAGGTTTCATTGTATGTGCCACTCCTTCACCCTAAGGATCCTGAGATACTTTTAAGTGGTGGAGCCACAATTTAAAGCAGTTCATATCTGACTTCTACTTCCTGATACCTCTCTCAAAGTTAATGGTACACACTAAAGTAATTGAAAGATTTTTTTCTTTTTAGTAAGCTATAACCAACTATATCACTGATAGCTGTTACTTTTACTAAGACTGATCTTTATCCAGAAACAATAAAAGTAAGAATGCCACCTAGCTGCTATGACCCATATGGTGTCAAGCCCTATTTCAAAGTTAAGTAAGAAGATGTAGAACAGCAGCCTGGCCAACATGGTGAAAACCTGTTCCATCTACCTTTTTGCAGAAATTGACAAGCTGATCCTAAAATTCATATGAAAATGCAAGGGACCCAGAGTAGCTAAAACAATCTCAATAAAGAACAACAAACTTGGAATACTCACACTCTCCAATTTCAAAACTTACTACAAATCTGCAGTAATCAAGGCTATGTGGTAATAGCATAAGAATAGATATATAAGTCAATAGAATAGAATTGAGAGCTGATAAACTCACACATTTATGACCAGTTGATTTTCAGTCAGAGTGTTAAGACAACTTAATAAGGAAAGAACAGTCTTTTCAACAAATGGTTTTGGGACAATTAGATATCCAAGTACTAAAGAATGAAGCCAGACCCCTACCTCACACCACATAAATAATTAACTCAAAATTGACCAAGACCTAAATGTAAGACCTATACTCTTAGACAAAAACACAGATAGAAATCTTCACGACCTTGGATTAGGCAATAGTTTTTTAGCTATGATACCAAAAACGTAAGCAACAAAAGGAAAAAAACCACACACACACACAGATAAAATGCACTTCAGTAGAACTGAAAACTCTTTTTTTGCATCAAAGGACACTACTAAGAAAGTGAAAAGATGCGACAGGCCATCCATGCCCTAAGCCTGGCAAGGGTCTGCTTGCCTGTGTCCCACATGGTAGAACTCGGCATCTGTAGGGGGCCTGCTAGGGGCAGGAAGGGAGTAGCACCCAACCCTGAGCTGGGTGCTCATGCTTCCCTGGAGCTGGGTGGAGGAGCTGAGGGTGTGGACAGGCATGAGGTATGGACATGTCCGTCCCTTTGAGGACCAAGATCATGACTACCACAGAGCGAGCACCTCCGGGGTTCTCAGATAAAAAGTCTGACAGCCACTGAGGCTCACCAGGCTACTGCAGCAGTCCCAGCAGAAGCAGGGCCAGGCTGAAGCAGTGACACCACAGACTTCGGGCATAGGGGGTATCTCAAGGCTGCTGTAACAAGTCACCATAAACGCAGTGATGCAAAATGGCACAAGCTGATGACAGTTGTGGAGGTCAGAAGTCCAGAATGGCTCTCACCAGGCTGAAATCAAGGGGCCAACTTCAGGGGAATCTGTTTCCTGCCTTTCCTGGTTTGAGAGGCCCCATCATGGCTGTCACCTGGGCAGCTGCTCTGCTCCACAGGCCTGGCCTCACTGATGGGGCTTCAAGAACAGTGCCTAGATCGTCTGAGAGCCTGTGGCATCACTGTCATGACAAAGGAACATTTGGGATGCACTGGAAGCCCAGAAGTCCAGAGATGGGGATAGGAACCATCAGTTACTATGGGGCACCTTGGGGGTCCCACATACACCACTGTGGGTGTCAGACCCTCAGATTGTTGCCACTTTGGGAAGGGGTCAGCAGTTTGCAAAGGACTCTGGACAGCAGTAGGGAGCAGCAATGACACAAGGGTTCCCCCCCAACCCCTGACACTGTTCAGACCTTCACCCCCGGCACATGGAGGAGGTGTCGTGCCCCTGCTTCAGGAAGCCTCGAGGGAGACACATGCACCCTCAGAATTCCCAGTTGGGGGCTCCTCACTGGAGGGCACTGGCAGAAACTGGTGTCAGAAAACAGCAGCACAGAGCGGATCTGGAACAGATCAGGGTATCACAGAAAAGATGCTTCATAAGATGTGTTTTGATGAGGATATTTAAATAAGTGTAATTTAATTGATGTTAAAAAAAAAAAAAAAAGAAAGTGAAAAGTCACAGAAGAAAATATTTGCAAATCATATCTGTATCCAGAGGCTAGTATGTAGAATATAGAACACAGAAAGAAGTCTTACAACTCAATAAGAAAAATACAACTACAGCTATTTTAAAAATAGGTAAAGGATATCAATAGACATTTCTACTATGAAGATATACAAATGGTGTCAATAAGCACATGAAAAGATGTTTAACATTAGTCATTAAGGAAATGCAAATCAAAGTCACAATGGGAGAAACTACTTCATACCCACAAGATGGCTATACTAAAAAGATAAACAGTAACAAGTATTAGCAATGATATGGAGAAGTCGCTGGTGGGGATGTAAATGGTGCAGCCACTTTGAAAAACAGCCTGGCAGCCCCTCAAAAGGTTAAATGACCCAGCAATTCCACTCCTAAGTATTGGTCTAAGAAAACTGAAAACATACATCCACAATGAGGGAAACTAAAAATATTTCATCCCCAAATATATTTCTTTCATATATTTTGGGACAGCGATTCAGAGGGACTAGAAACCAAAGAACAGCTAAAAAGCTGTCTTTTCTAGAGGAGATGTGCATCTGTAGAGGAAATAAAGTCAAGTAAATAACAGATGCAAACAGGCTTTCTTTGAACCACCCTCCACCCCTTCATCTGGATCTAGGAAAGATTAACTGAGAATCTGACACCTTTAAAGGTCTGACAGAAATATTTACCAAAGGCTACCATCTGTTCTTTCTGAGAGCTGCTACCCATGAAGTTTCATCCATATAACAAGGCTGCCTTTGCTAGCCAGGCCTTTCCTCTTCTCTCCCTCTTATAACCTGTCTTGCTACCATAACCTGTTTTGCCAAGCTCCAAGCCCCTATTCTTTGTGTGACCTCAAGATGGTATAAAAGTATCAATCTTCTGACCATTTGAGTTTTTCATATTTTGTATGCCATGCCCATACACATGTTAATAAGACCTGTATGCCCTTTTTCTTGTTAATCAATCTATCATCTTTTTTTTTTTTTTTTTTTTTTTTAGATGGAGTCTTGCTCTATCACCAGGAGGAGTGCAGTGGTGCAATCTTGGCTCACTGCAATCTCTGCCTCCTGGGTTCAAGTGATTCTCCTGCCTCAGCCTCCCCAGTAGCTGGGACTGCGGGCGCATGCCACCACACCCAGCTAATGTTTATATTTTTAGTAGGGACAGGGTTCCACCATGTTGGCCAGGATGGTCTTGATCTCTTGACCTCATGATCTA